TTAAAGACTAGAAATATTCAATGCACAAGCTCAGTGACAAGTGGTCGCACCTCGGAGGTGGGTAACTTTTGGGATGGAGGTGTGTTTTGGTATTATAATGAGATTATAATGAGCATAGTTCACCCAAAGGACGGTATCCATCAGAAGATGACAGACTCTTGGCCCAGAGTAGTAAATGTGCAGTTAACTGGCTCCAGGTTCCTTTGTGTTCATGGAGCTTGACCACGGTATCTCCACACTGTTCCACACTGTGTAGTTTTTCCTTAGAGTCAGAACAAGCTCCTTCAATGCTACCAACCCTTAAGATTGCCTTAGAAACCTTTGTGAGAAGAGCTCCTTATGCACCAGCTGCACGCTCTCCTGGAAACTTTCTTCATGTTCTGATGTGTGAACAATGCTATGTAGGTAATTAAGTAATTTTAGATAATTATCCCACATCAAATGCCATGAGGTTAGTTTTATGAGGGCCAAGCGCTCTTGCAATGTTTTAGCCCAGATGGTTGCCTCGTGGTTAGAACTAAAGTTTAGGCAAAGGTACTTTAATCCCACACGTACAGTAACATGCTTTATACCTCATATGCAGCTAGAGCATGTCAGTAGAGTTCGGCTGCTCTACTTCTGAAGCTGGAGTTTCACAGAACTTAGTGATGGAGCAGAGAAGAAACACTACTCTAAGACCGTTTTAAAGCCTATCACAATGTAAGGGGGCTATAATAGAGCTTCTACCAAGGCTCCATGAAGGTCTTTGGGATGGTAAATGTAAGATGGTATTGAAAAATGGTAACTCATGTTCGCATTTGACCATAGTTCATTTTTCACTCTGTTTCGGTTCTGATGATAAAATTTCATTTCAGTTGCCTTGCTTTTTTTGTCGCATGGAGAATGCAAACTGGCAATATGAAGTACATAGCTTTATAGATGTTCCAGCCTCTGGTGGTAGGAGGTATAAAGACATAAAAGCTGAATTATATGCAAACATCTTATTGTTTTACATTCAAGTTTATGAGAAAGGACTCTTCATGCCTTTTCTTGTAGGGAATCTAGTCTTAGGAATGAGAACCGTGTGAATTGTATCTTTCATAGCTTTTCTGCTGTCCTAGTTAATTTTTGTTTATCTTTTCCCTTCTCTTCTACTTGAAAAAAAAACAACACCAAGCAACTAGACCAACATTGCTCTTACGGTAGTTTGTTGTTTGAAGTAATGAGGTGGTTAGACTTTCCCAGTTATGTGTTTGCATAATGTATTAAAAAAAAAAAAAATCTAACTTTTCCTTTGAGTACCTAGAAGTATTTAATTGCACTCTTTCTTCTCAATCCTTATTGCCTTTGAACTTTTAACGCTGGATAATATACTCTCGAATACCATCAGAGCATTAAAACAGATACTAGTTTGGAGAATTTTGAAGGTACTTCGCTGTGGAAATACTTTGTGTCAAGACCATATGAAGCACTGTTTATTCCTCGGTTAATTTTAATGAGACCTTAAATGAAAAGTTTGTCCCTTTCAGAAAATTATTATCTTATAATACTGTTCTTGTATAATTACATATGTATTTATTGATAAAATAAATACAAAAATAGGGCAGACATATTCAGAAAAGATAGAAGGTTCAACCTGCTTTAAACTGTAGTGACACTTTGTATCAAAACTAACTTTAGATATTCCCTATTGGCTAGCTGAATTTAAAATGTTTTTAATGTAATGTGGAAGATTATTGAACTATGTTTTTGCCGTTTCCTCCTCTATGCACGTGGATTGCTGGCAGCGTCAGAGGTAGTTTTCATTACAACTAAGCAATGAAATTTGTATTCTTTCTGTAGAGTGCTTTCTGTGGACCATGAAATTATTCACCTCTATGGAATATTGAGAGGTGTTTTTTTTTTTTTTTTTTAAGCACTATCAATGTATAATTCAAAAAGAGAAGTGTATGTAGAATACACAGACTTTACTGCTCTGCGGGACTTGTGAATTCCCGTTGAAATCTTATTTTTAAACTGCATTGTTTTAAATAATTTCAAGTAATTCGTTTGATGTGTTTAAATGTGTTTATAATCCTAGTATCTCCCTCTGTCTTATATGTTTTTTCCCAATCAAATTTATTCTAAGTGTGTGCTCCCCTCCTCTAGGACAAGTGGTGTAGGATTTGGTGAATATGGGGAATATGAATGTTAGGGCCTAATCTGGAACGTTACAAAGCATCTGCCATACAGTCTAGTGTGCAAGAGAAGCTCAAAATCAAAGCATAATCTAAAAGAATCAAGAAGGGAAATATCCTTTTATAAGGATGAATGGGCTCTCATCTCTGAGTTGGTGCTGCCTGTTGCTAGTGGAGCAAGAGTAGCTCTGGGACTGCCTTGGGTGTTTGTCATGTCACGTTTTTTGAGTGACTCTGATTTGCCGATTCCCTTGGTTGGAATAGAGCACATAAAACACAAGAGGTCCTTTAATCTGCAAAGGCTTTATTTTTCACAAAAGGTTCTCGGTGTTGAAGGTGGTTTGCCTTGCCTCTCCAGAGAGAGAGAGGAGGAAGATAGAAATGAATTGCTGGTCCAGGTTCCAGCAGTGATCCAGCTGAAGAGAGTCTTCACTATCTAGGAGTGCTCATCCAGAAATTCCCACCGATGCTATTTGGTGTCCACTTTTATTCTCATCCCTCAATGATGACGCTTTTGAAAGCCCCTGTTGAAAGTTTATTTGAATTTGCCTTGCTTCCTATGTAACTTAGCTGCCATGCTCCTTACAGGCATGAGGGGGCAAGTCTTTTTGGTCTTGATTGTGGTGGTGGTGGTCACTGATCTCTCCTTGCTGCATTTAGCTTTCCCACAGCTGCTGCTTCTTGGGCTTCTTGGGCAGTCTTGGGCTTCTTGGGCAGTCTTGGGCTTCTTGGGTGGTCTTGGGCTTCTTGGGCAGTCTTTGTGGTTCCGCACCCACTGAGCAAGCAGTCATTTTCTTCAGAGGAACATGTGGGTCGGCAAAAGGTATCATCAGGCCACTTGGTCTCCTACAGTATTTCATGGCAGAGTTTGAGGTGGCCCTACCTGGCCAGGACTGCAATTGCTACTGCTGTGTGGCACAGAGGAAGGAAGGCGGGACACTTGGGGAACATGAACCAAAAGGAAGGCGCTGAGATTTTTCAGGAGTGGTGGGCTAAGGAGTGTAGGGCACAGGTCTCTTAAGACTAATTTAGTCAGTTCTCTGCTGGCTGAACCACTGTCCGAAATATTCAGCCAAAGTGTCTTCCATCTACTCCTGCTTCAAGTCTGTGTACAAAGAATATTCAAATATAATGGTTTGCTGCTTAGGTTACAGACTTCACAGTGAACAGTGGGGCATGGAGAAGCTGCAGGCTAGCTCATTCTTTGGAGCAGGTGTGCTGCTTTTCATTGGTGCTCTGTGAAACCCATTGTTTGAGAAGAAAAATCTGATATTATGTGATTTATTTATATATATACGTATTGAGGATTCCAATCTAGTCGCTGTAGTTTGCAGTTGGGCTTCACCTCCCCCATGCTTACCATAGACTTTTGATTTTAAAGCAGGAAGGGAAACTGCTCTCTAGTTCTCCCTGGGTCTTGCCTATGTAATTACAGTGTACTTTTTAATTTGCCTGCTGGTTTGATGTAACACTGAAGGGCTCCGTCATCTATGCTGAGCTCTTTTATGTTTATGCTGGATTAATTTTCTGCTTTTGCATGTTCGACAGCCATCTGTATGTGAGTGGCTTATAGTCTGTGTTCCGAAAACTGTTCCTTTTTAAGTATGAACGGGAAGAATTAGAGTCTTTTTTACCTCCAAACCTCTCTGCGTGGATGTCTAATGGTCAAGTCTTGCTCTGACTATAGTGGAGCACTTGTACCCAATTTTTGCTGCTAATTTTCTTTGCTCTCGTTTGATCTTAATTCCACAGATGCTATAATAATTTTAGTTGTCATTTAGTTTGGTAACTTTGATGTATTTATTAAAAGATATCTCAAGATACTTATCTTCAAGATATATTGAAGTCTCTGAAAATTTTTGCATACTATTTCAAAGCTGTAAGTCTGTTGATATGGTTGAAATCTTGTCCAAAAATCTCCTGTTCATCAAATGCTGCATAATTTTCTTCTGTGTTGACAAGTGTAATGCTGCTGTTAACATCTGTTCAAAAGGCTGCTGCAGAGACAATTAAGATTTAGCGTATCCCATTGAGTATGTCAGGTGTTTTTGCGTTGTTGGTCCTTGCCCATATACATTAAACCACACAGGCTCTAATAATGAAAATGTTTAAAATTTCCCTTAGTAAATCTTTACTGAAAATAAATATCAAAGCAGTATAAGAAACACGCCACAACCCAAACCACATCTGGCTCTTGAAAGGGTAAATCAGAGTTATTGTCTCATGTTGGTGCGAAGTCCTGAGGATTTTTCATGAAACCATAAGTGTATCCTACTTAACTTTAATAAAGGAGCTGGTGGTTTTTATGCTTCTCCAACATGAATTTGTAAATAACGGAGTACAGAAAGGCACTGTTTTGAATAACGTAATGCAAACGGAAAATAAATAAAACAGTGTCTTAGTTATACTAACTTGTTTTTTAATAAAAAATAGTTTCTTTGCATATATGTATATTCTGTTACAGTGTCAGATGTACAGCTGTTTCAGAGTTACAAAAACCAATTCAAAACATGTTTTTGATAAATAAGCCTTCTTTTTCATATTGTACATGTAATGGCTGGGAAGAACTCTTCTTAAATGGATTTTCCTCCAGACTTTCTGTAAAATTCTCATGTTCTGTGTTATTTCTTCATAACATAATGGGATTCTGGTCTGTTAAGTGCTAAGGCAAGTGACCATTATATGTATCTTTAGGAAAATGCTTTAAAATAAGGCAGTTGAATAACAGCAAGTTACCTCAGAAAAATAAGAATGTTTAGCTTCCAAGAACACCCTTCTTAATTAGGGTTGAATAGAATGGAAGCAGTATGTGATACGTTATACCTTTTCTGTTTTCAGTTGGACAGATTTGCCAGTATAAGGATTCCAGGAAGTAAAAAGGAAAGACCTCCTCTGCCACATATGAAGCACTCACATTCTACAGACTGGTCATCCACACCTATGGACGCGGAGGATTTTGCTCCAAAACCTTTGTCGGAAAGAGAAATCATAGCGCTATTTGAAAAAATGATGGTGAGAGTCTTATGATGATTTATTTTACTTACAGAATGACCACATGGCTAACTGACAGGTGCCGCATTTTGTACATGTGTTCTGATCTTTACCTGAATTGTTAATGTTGATGTTGTTGTGAGTTGTAATTATGTGTGTTTTAAAATGTTTCTCAGGGAATGAACACTTTGAATTATTTTGTTGAGATTTTGTTCCAGATATATTGAAAATGGAAACTAAAGGTTTCTGATTATTAGAAGAGAGATTATGCAAGGGATTTTAAGGAGAAACAAGAAATGGGGAATCCTGCATGCTTTCAAGGTGACCTGAAACTTACATGAAAGGGTTTTACTCTTTTGAATGTCACAGCAGGGTTTTATTCTGAATTTATATTCCATGTCACTCTTGCACAAAAAAAGGCTTAAGGTTCTTGCCTCCAAAGGAAATTTGTCTGCATGTGCAATCTCAAATTTGTTTCATTCTTTAGTTGTCATCATTACTGTGCTGCAGTCACTTGCTGGAAGGATCATGTGGCATTGGTACCACTTCAAGAGGGTGAGGTGTTTTTGTCATGATGATGATGATGACATTTTGGGCAATTGAAAACTAAACATGTAACGGCCATGAGAGAACAGAGTGACTGTGATCTGAAAAGCACAAGAGAACATTAACAACGAGAGCGATGCCTAGATTACAATTTCTTTCTCTGCCTCACAGCAAGTGACAAGTAATTCTTGAAACACAAAGGGCCTACCAGAGGCTGGAATGGGGAGGAAATTAAATTTGCTCTTAGATGAATTCCTGCATGGAATTTGTAATTCCTAGTACTCAATAATATTGGTTTAGTATTGCAGATGCTTTTGTAGAACTGTTGAGAGCTACGACTACATGATAGGTTTCAGGATTTTCATGTTTAAACTGATGAAGGGGAAGACTTAATTTACTGTGTTATCAACTTCTGTATTTATACTTGTTCTCCCATGGTCCATTTTTCATGGTATACCTTGTTATACCTTTTACTTCTGTTAAGAAATTTCACTGTGAATGATAGTTGCTCAAATGTTTGGAAGTAGAAGAGTGTGGGTGGAGGGTTGTCTTTTTTTTTTTAAAGTAAAACTTGAAGGGATGCTTCCCTACTATGTAAGTGTAGGTTGTATTTCCCCACCGTCCAACAGTATAGGATAATATGTCATGTTAAGGCTGTACCATAAAAGAATGGAAACTTTCAATAAATCCTCAGAAACATAGTTACTACTGCATGCGTAGGTAAAACAGAAATGCTTATATCCATGGATCCTGAAGCAAGTAATTCCAATTTTATAAGTACTTTGCAAAAACATGTTAAAGTAATGATAACATCTTGGATAATTTGCTTTTCTAGTTTAATTGAATAACAAAGCACTTAAAGCAGTTTCTCAAAGACAGTTTATCTGTGTTATTTTAGCTGTAACATGTGAAACAGAAAGGATTCTTCAGATTATCCACACTTGAATGGACTGGAATAAAGCTAGTTTAGTCACACTGTATTACAGAGCTAATTGTATGTTGTAGCCTCTAGTTTGGTGTTCTGATCAAATTAAATGATTTGGGGAGGTGGTGAACAATTTGAAGGTTATAGCTAGGCTTTTAGAGCTAATTTTGCATGAAATATAGTCAATTGGTTAGTACTGAAGGGAGTAGTTTCTAAATTCTGAAGTTTCACTGAATGTATTACGTTATATCTTAGGTTTTCCCTGATGCATACTGCCTCCTTCTCCCAACTGTTTATGCGGTAGCATCCTGTGTGGTTTCAATAGCAAAAATTATCAAAGAGCTCGTAAAACCAGACAATAATTAACTGTCATTTAGCTTCTTTCATTTCTGTGGATGCAATTAGGAAAATATCCCCTTGAAATGACTTATTCTTATTTTCCAAAGAGGTATTGCTCACCTGTAGAATAACTTCAAATGATTTAAAAGGAAATAAAAGAATGGAGTTGAAATATTTTATAAATTAAGACATATCTGACATGCTCCTTGTACTGCTGAATACTTCTAATCTGTATAAATCAATTGCTATAATGATGCATCATTTGATGAAACTAACAACAAAGAAAATTACTTTTTAATGCACAATACAGACAGAATATTTCCTATAAATAAACCTGCTGTTATATCTAGGATTAATGAATGTAGTTTGTACTGATAGCTTTCTTATTTTCCCCACCTTTGGTTTTTTAAATGTGATAAGAGAAAATAATTTAACTTTTAAGGAAAAACAAGATGTTTGTTTCCTCTTATGCAATTCATAAATTATTTTACAGAAAATTTAAAAAAGCAAGTCTGGGAAGTGCAAAACTTCTTTAAACAGAGCAATGAATTTGCAGTTGCTACAGGCTAATGTGAAAAGCTTTTCTTTCTTTCCCCTGAGGCAGAATACACATGCATTTCAATATTGTTATTGAAAAGACAACCTGTAGCATATTGCAGGCAAGATACTGAAGATGCCTCACTGAAGGCATGATAACTCTTGGAAAACATCGAGAAAGACTTAGCCATATATTTTTGTGTAACTTTAAGAGGAATAATTTGGTTTCAGTGTTCTTACATTTCTGATTATATAGGTTTTAAATGCAATTTAAATATTAAATAAAATATAGCTACCCTTATTAAATATACACATAAAATGTGTTTTTATTTGAAGCCAGTGTTGTTATACAATTGTATCCCTGTGGAAAGGAATCTTGAGGCACAGCATTGAAAAAAAAATTTATTGGAACTTCCAGGAAAAAAAAATAAAAATCTGATAATGTCAAGCTGGACTTGATTCTAGTAATTTATAGTATGAGTTGTCATGTGCATATCTCTGTAGATGTGTTGCCTGTCAATAAGAATAATCATAAATATATTGTACATTTAGAAGATAATTAATGAAACAGAAATAATGCATAGAATGAGAAATACTTGTGACAACATAACAAATGAAAGGCTGAGGGGGCACTAAGATTGTTGTATTTTTTGGCAGTCTGACTTGATTTCGATCGTTTTCCCTCTCCCGTCATTTTAAAGCTTAAGAAATGTCTTGGATAAGACATAAAGGTTTTTGAGCAGTTGTCGAGAGTTTAAAGTTGCAGTATTCTTCTGGCTTTGAAAGAATTTGTTATTGAAACAAGCATTTAAAGAAGGAAATTGAAAAGAACTTACTTTTTGGTTCTTATTCTACAAGCATTTTAGCACTTCCCAAATCTTTCTGTCTAAACCCATATATCAGTGTCAGAATTCATTAATGAATTGTCAAAGTCGTGGGTACTTATGTGCTTAACTGCTAAATGCTTGACTAGTAAATTGAAACATGTAGATTGATTTCTTGGGTAACTTTTAAATTTTCCATCTGATCACTTAACAGCCCTTATGTACCCTTTCTGGGAGCAGATGATTACTTTAGGCTTTTGATTTTGAAATTCTGAAGACACTACTGCGATTGATTATGTTCTTTCTCATCTTAAAAAATCTGCATTGACTTTTGTAAGCTTTGATAACAGACAGGTAACTTCCAATATCTTCCACTTTTTTCCAAATGGTATACGCACACACCAAAATTTTTCCGCCGTTTTACTTACCTTGGAAGAAAATTACCTTGTCACGTGTAATATGTGATCACAACAATGGTTTTAATGTATGTGTATTTAACCCTGTTTTTTAAATTTCATTGTTTTTAATTTAGTGTGGATATTTGAGTCCATGATACTAGGCTTCCGAACATAGTAAATTATAGTAGTTTCTTGATTTACTTTCCTCTAATAAAAGCTAAAAAATGCATCATGTCCTTTCAAGATAATGTCCCTCATATTTGATTATTATGAGGGAACTTGCAAAATATTCAGGAATATGTGTGTTCTTGTGCACTGATAGAATTTTGGTTTGAGCATAAGGAGATAATTTCTCTATGAAATTCTTGATCAAAGGAATGCAATATTTTGAGGAACAAAACTATGAGAAAAAATTGAAGCATGCAAAGCTCCTTTCTTCCAGTTCTTTTGTGGTTACCTGCAGGTGTAGGAAGTGGCACCAATATGCAGACTTGCTGCAAGGAGGCAGAAGACTGTATTATTATTGCTTGAATGAAAAAACTTTTCACAGCATGCACCCTGTATTTGATACTAAAAATATCAAATAATCATATATATATATAATCAAATATACAAGTCTGATACTATAAATGCAGTGCATAGTATAATAATAAAATGTGAATTTAATAATACTAAATAATAAGTAATAATTTAAATGCATACTAGACTGAAGTGAGGAAATTTTCTAGCCCTTAAGGAAAAGAAACAGTAACATATGTGTGTGGAAAAATTCAGAATCTATGCAAAATTGCCCTAATTGTACTTTGAAGAAGTTCAGCTTAAGAGGTCAAGCATTTTTTTACAGTGTCTTCTTACAGCTCAGATTTATACAGAACTCTAAATGTTTCTAGGAACAATGCTTGATTCTGTCCTACTCAGCATGAAAACTGCTGGAAGACTTGCTTTAATATCCAGTTTGTCATCCACTGATTTTGTAGCATTGGTCCTGCCAAGGCAGGTCAGGATTCACCTTTAGAGTCTTGGCTGAAAATAACTGCAGTAATTCTTGCTAAGCTTGTGCGATCATAGTAATGCTGTATGTGCTTATATGTGTGTGCCTAAATTGTTTCTTAAAGCTTTTTTTTTCTTAATAAAAAAAACCAAAAGAAACCTCCTATGATAGGAAATGTTACTTCTCACAGATGTGGAAGTGATTACAATGATCAGAACATTTCTAAGCGGGGACGGTAGAAGTCTCCATGTCAGAAATGTCAATGAATAGTGACTGCGTGGCTTTGAACGGAGTTCTGCATCTGCTCTTTTTGACCTCTGAGTTTATGTTGGCATGAATGAATTGTGATGGGCTTTTATTAACAATCAAGGGTGTTGATTTAATTATCAATTTACTGAGAATTTGGGCCTTAGCTATTGCAAAGGTGAATATTTTGTGAGCTACTTTCAGTACAAAGCAGATTCCGCAGCCCAGAGTTAAGTATTTATGGAATGAGGAACAGGATTATAGGACAAATTGATATATTGTTAAAAAGATCTTTGTAAGAGACCAGTTTGAATACATGTATAAATGTTTTAGGAAGTGTTAAATAACACTATTCTGTAGGTTTGTGTGTGTGTGTGTGTGAAACTGTAGGTGATTTTTAAGACAAGATTATGCTAATAATGGTTGCATTGTGATACTCTTTTGTACTGCCGTAATTGACTGTTCTTTTAGTCTGAGTTGCTAGGAAAGATGGATAAAGGTTTTTGTGGGTTTGAGAAACATCTAACTTATGAAAAGTTGCTTGTATAACAGCTTTCAGTTGCTCAAGTTCATATGTTTGTGTGTTTTTAAATCAGTTTCATAGTTAAACAGCTATGTTTCTGGACTACTTTTACAACTTGTTTTTGCTTTTTTTTCCTTTCATTCTAGGAAGATATGAATTTAAATGAAGACAAGAAGATGCCATTAAGAGAAAAGGATTTCAATACCAAAAAAGAAATGGTGATGCAATATATCAGCACTGCTTCAAAGTCTGTAAGTAAATTTCTCTGAAGTACACAAAAAATGACTTAATTTTTACATTATTTTCCTATTAGACAGAAAATGTTACATTCTTTTAACTAAATTTTCTCATAGACAAAGTTTTTGAAGGGCATGATCTCATTCGTTTATAAGCTGCAGTGAAAGATGTTCATTATAAAAAATATTAATATGAAGAATAGAGGCTTTGCCTCTAATGAATCACTGAAAATGAAGTAGCAAATGGTGATAAAAATGGGCTCCACTATAGTCAAAGCTTCATCATTGACTTCGGTATCAGGTTTTTTTTTCTGTTTCTTAGAAATGCACAACTCCTTTCCAGTATTCACAAAGCACATCTCTTAGTGATGCATCTAGAAATTTTACTGGGTTTGGTGTGGTTGTGCTCAGGTGCTTATTTGTGTATAGAATACCGTGATCTACCTCTGTGTATGTGGGTAATGTTTAGAAGGAATCGGTCGCTTAAGGACTTAGTTACTTAAAAATAACTGAAGTTCCACTGATGTGCATCCTCCAATGCTCATTTCACTCCACTTTGCTTAGAGACTTCTAAAACAGTTGGCTGAAAGCATGCTTCTGTATATATTTCTGTATATGTTTAGATATGGTGTTATCATCACTCTTTATAACATGTTCAGGGTGCTCCTTGTAGAAAAATTGCTAAGAATAAACAGTCTTGGGGTTTGGGATACTAGTAGTACTTACTGAAAATTTGAACAATAGCAAAAATTGCATGCTTGGATAATTCTGCTCAATTACTTCATTATTTTGCTGGTATTTTCTTGTTTTCTTGTAATGTATAGTGTTTAGATGGAGCCTAATTTTTTCCCTTAACAACATTATCTTAGAGATATATATCACACATTGTTTAAACTATCATGGCTTATAAATCTTTAATGAAAATGCTCTTTGCTGTTATGTCATTGTCGTATTTAAAAGGAAACAGTTGGAGAAGGGAACAACAGTTGTGTTTAAAAGCTGTTATGCAAGTGTGAATTCTCATCTACAAAAAGCAGTGTGATTCTGTTTATTAGAGATTCTTATGGCCAATGTGTTTTTGTAGCAGTTTGTATGTATTGTGTTTATTTCAGGTTAGAAACAGTGCCACATTCTTAACTGCTCTATAAACACCTACGAAAATGTTGCAGCCCCGAAAAGTTTTAAAAATCTGTTTCCTTGTTTTGGAGCAGCATTGCTGTGATGTTACTCTGCCATAAGTTTTACTGTCCTGTATGTTGAACACACACAGACTGGGTTTTTAAAGTGAGTTTTCTTCACAAGATTTTGTTCTTGTTGTGCAGCTTACTGCCTTGTAATGTTTTAACTGAGTTAATTAATGCTGACTTCATACCGCATCTGCTCACAGACCAGTTGTTCTTCAGTTGAGCAATTAAATTTCTAGAGGCACTGATGCCTCAAGATATTTCCTGCTTCTCAGTTAACTCGAGCATTTTGAACTTAAGCAGCTTTTCCCATGCTGAAATGTAGCTAATATAATCAGTTTCAAAATTGATACCAAATGCAGCTCTCATTTAAGCACGGCAGATGTATCTTACTCTCCGTATCTTGCAGAACCTTGGTGTAACTACAAATAAGTTGTACCTGGTACTGCGGGTATGTTGTGCAGCCATTCGCACTTTATTGGCATCTTTTGCACAGGGTAATGTTCAGGTGTGGATCCGAGTCTGTAGCAGGGTGGTCTGGATGTTCTTCTTGAGTCTCCATTGCTTGTGACACTCTTCAGTTGTGTCAGATGAGACTCTGAAATGTCATTGTAATGAATTCTTATAGTCAGGCTGGGCTTGTCCTGTGTGACCTTTCCAGTGCACACACTGATATTGATTATATTAAATTATTCCAAAATATTTTTTAATGGTCATAACATCAAAAGAAAGCAATTTTACTGATTATTTATCAGTATCTTAGTTACATCCAGCTTGGTCAGTATCAGAGCAAGAACTGCTGGGGGAAGTCACTGGAAATGACAGATTCTCCATCCAGGATATTAACCCATAGGCTTAGGTGTAAAAGTAGTGCTTGTCAATTGGTCTATACATGGCAGGAACTTCCAGGAGAATTTCAGGGACTTGCTAATTTTTTCTAACTGGAGCTCTCCTCTACCATTTAACTAAATACTTTGTCATGAAAACTGTTAAGAGTTTATTTGGTCATCTTGTCCCTGATCAGTCCATTGGCTCATCTCTGCAGAGACCAGCTGCGAAGCTCCGAGATTGCACAGAGGACTGTATCTGCTGCATATGCATTCAGCTATGGCCCTGCTTGCCTGTTACACCACAGTTGTAACAATTTCCTCCTTATATCACAGTTGTAACTCAAATTCCCTTGATTATGCCTCAGGGGTATATATTTGCTTGTCTTAAAATGTTTGGGGATTGTTGTAACAGGATGGATGTACTTGGTATATAAACTCTTGAATAACCAGGCAGAAACCCTTGTTGCCGGTTCCCTTTAGACAGTAAATTTGTAGAATAGAATAACTGAGACTGGAAGAAACCTCTGGAGATTATAGAGACATAGAATGGTTTGGCTTGGAAGGGATCACCTCCAAGATCATGTAGTTCCAGCCCCCCTGCCATGGGCCCGAACAGTTCTCACTAGGCCAGGTTACTCTAAACTCCATCCAGCCTGGCCTGGAACACGTCCACGGAGCGGGCATCCACAGCTTCTCTAGGCAACCTGTGTTAGTGTCTCACCACCCTCACAGAAAAGAATTTCTTCTTAATATCTATTCTACATCTACTTTCTTTCAGTTTGAAACTGTTATCCCGCATCCTATCACTACACCTCCTGACATAGAGTCTCTCCCCATCTTTCCTATAGGCCCCCTTAAAGTACTGGAAGGCTGCTAAAATGTCTTCCCAGAGTCTTCTCTTCAGCTTGAACAATCCCAACTCTTAATCCTGTCTTCACAGAGGAGCTGCTCTAGGCCCTCTGATCATCTTTGTGGCCCTCCTCTGATCATCTTCTCCAGTGCCTTATCTAGTCCCTTTTCCAAGAGAGTACAGTCTGCCTGGGTGGGCTGTTCCAGGGACCAGCTGCCTGGGGAAATCTGTGTTTGTCTTACGTTTAACAAAACTCCTTTATTTTAGGTTGCGCCTCTTGTCCTTTTACTGATAGGACTAAAAGGGGGCTAAACAATCCTGTCTCTGTTAACCTTTCTGTGTACAACAGATGCTCCTTTAATTGTGTCCACGGCTTTTTCTGGACTCATTCCTGTATGTCCATGTCTCCTGCATTCTAGGGAGCTCAAAACTGGACATAATACTACAGATGTTTCTAACCACTGCTGAGCTGAGGGGAAGGATCATCTCCTTCAACGGTCAACTTGTCACCTGCCAGGACCCCCATTTTCTTCCCTGTAAACCTACTTTCCCTCTGGTTGGCCTCAACACGTGTTGTGCATGGGATTATTCCTCCCAAGGTTCAAGATTTAGTATTTCCTGCTGTGGAACTCCCTGCAATTCCTCTGCTCATTCCTCCTGTCTGTTGAAGTCCCTCTGAATGGCAGTAGAGCAGTCTGGTCTGTCTTTTTCTTTCCAGTTGTTAACTTCACCTCTCTGCTAGGAACTGTTTCCTCATCTTCTGTTTCAGGAGGAGAAAATTATGTTTTTCGCCACTTCTTGAGGATCTACCAAAGTAAGAAAATAGGAAGCTCTGTATGATAGCATAGTAAGACTGCCTCACCATTTACAGTCAGTAATTTCAACTTGTTATTGCATTGCAAGTCTATTCTTCAACTCCTGACTTAACCCACTAGATTATCAAGTATTATTTAGTAACTCTATTTAGTGTACATGCCAGAATATTTGTGCTTCTACTCTCAAAAAAGGGAGTCTTTCCAATGAACTAAGTCAAATATAGGTTGTATACGCCATTGTATGCCTCTTTTTTTTGAATTTAGATATGTTTTATAGAGCATATTTAAATTTAGATATGTTTGGTAGAAATGATGTATATCCTTTTTAATGTCATAAATGGATATCAGGTGGTATAGACTTACTATTTTCCACCACCTACAAATTTTGTCAAAGGAGATTTTGTCAAAGGAGGAGGATACTCTTAAGAACAGTGTTAATGTCTCTTAGATTTTGTGATTTAAATGCAAATTGTAGACCTTCATTAATTTGGTGCAATCACTGCTTTGTTTAAAACGGTGGATACTATATATTCTTCAGAAAAGTCCTTAATATCTTGAATTTATTTTAAGCAACATTTGACGCCACACATGCAATAAGGAGTCAAAGCCAGAGTCTAAGAACCTATATAACTTTGAATGGAAAGTATATTACTTCCAGAAAAATGCTTTTGCAGTGCTGCATTGACTTGCCGTTGCATTTGCCTTTGTATCTGTGTTCTCCATGTCCCCATTTGCTTCCCTATTTGCCAGAAAGAACAAAACCCAAAAAGCAAGGCAAAATCCAAACCTGGAGGTTGTGTGAGTGTCCTTATGTTGTTGCATCAATTGTCGTATTTGTGTTGCACTGCATTCCTACAGATACCAAATACAACAAATGAGGAGCTGGGATTTGTCTTTAGAACTTTAGTGGTTTTAAAGAAGTCTCTTGTTTCTTCTTTTTTTTTTTTTTAAATTCTTTTGCTTTAGTCCTTGGAACCAAAGCCAGTCTGTTTTTATAATCCCAGTCTCATATACTCCTCATCTTAAGGACCTTTAAGGGAAAAGCAATTTACAACATTATCTTCAAGAACTCAAGTTACTGCAATAACAGCTTGAGTACTCTTCTGGTGTGCTGGTTCTTCCCTTTGTATTCCCATGGCTCCAGTCACCCTTCTAGACTCATGCTCTCTTCAGAGCACCTCAGGATTGTCTTCTTTCTTCTGCTGAATATTTAAAATGAAGATGTTTGCAAGGCAGAAAGAGCATCCCTTCGTTACAAAAATAATATATTTCATCGAGTGTGCATGATATACCTCTGCATTTGATGCCTGCTGCTTTTAACTACTGGTTATAAATTTTTTCACAAATTCACAAAAAATTTAGTCAGCATTTAGCATATATAGTAGGTAGACAACAAACAGTTACAGGTTTAGGACTAAATTATATATTTTCTTTCCTCCCTATTTTTTCAAGGAAGAGAAATGAACAGAAAGGTTAGCAATTAATAATCTATTCAAGTACTATATGTGCCAAATAAAAAAAAAGAATGTATTTTCTGTATTTCAGGGAAGTCTAAAGAACAGTCGGAAGATTTCACCTCAAGAGTTTATTCAGGAATTAAAATCTGGGTCAACAGATGAAAGGCTAGTCACTTGCTTAGAATCTCTCCGTGTGTCCTTGACTAGTAATCCTGTCAGGTAACGTCATTAATACATATTGCAAAGATTAGTCTTATTCTTATTTCTTAACGGATTAAAATTAATGGATCTGCAGATGTGCATAATGAAAGGTTTTCCAGTTATTGAATGTATATATATTAGTGAATGTTTGTACATTTTTTTTTCCCCCCACTGGTTATATATCTTTTGTAGATCTGTTGTTTAGTAGAGTTCATTGATCTGCCCAAGTTAATGCTAAGAGACTGTAAAACAAGTGTAGTGCAGAGCAGTTCACTTTGTTTTCTTGTGCTGAACAGTCAAAAGCTTCTATTAATTAATTTTTGAAATATTCCCTTAACTCTTTAATATTTTGCTTTGTCAGAGTGAACAATAATGGGAGATGGGCACCTTGGTTTAAGTTAGCCATAAAACATAGACACTTTTATGTGAAGACTTTCTTCAGTACTGCCTTCTAGTAATTTATTTGCTGTATCTGTGGGATTTATCTATACAGAAGAGAAAACAGCATTAGTTGACCTGTGCTTTTTTTTTTTTTTTCCTAAAAAAAAAAGGCTAACCTCATTAATCATAACTTCAACCCTCATACTAATCTTTATGCTTAATTTCTATTTGATTCCTGTAGGTTGATTTGTGAATTCTGGATTTATTAAATTATATCTTTTTCTACTCTATTTACAACTTTTTTTTTTTAGAGTTCCTACTTAGGCCAGTGGTTGAATACATGATTTTGGGAAACAGTTTTGGGTTTTGTTCAAAATAACGGATTTGAAATGTTGAGGATGCTTTTAATGGGACGTGGCTATAAAAGAAGTAGGCAATTTTCTTCTTTCTGCATCTGGCTTGTCAGAGTTGTTAATGTGGGTCTTCTATGTGGGTGCTTCTTTCCTTCAATTAATTTTGGTTTTTATTGGATTGTCTTATTTAGAATTTGTAATGGTTCATTTGGGAAGCAAGATGTTTTACATAAACCGAATTTGTTCTTACAGAGGGTTCTGTGGAAGATATACTTCCTCCAGAAGTGTGTAGCTACTTTTTGATATAGTATTGATTCTCCTTTATTTAAAAAAATCCACAAAAACAACCAACAACCCACAATCCCAAAGATTTATTTTTTTTATTTACACTAACATTGATGTAACATAAACTATATGAAATGTGTGACAACTTGAGTTTAGAACAATCTGTCTCCTCGGTTTTTGATACATCTAGGTAGTTTTTTGTTGACATTTGAGTTTCATCTTTTTGTATGTGATCTCCTTTGTCCCTTTCCCACACACCAAGAGAAGTTAACCACCCTGACCCCTCCAAACCAAACCAAATCAAAATTCATGGTCTCTGTGAGGTGCTGGTTCTACCTGACAGCACCGTACAATGTGATAGGGTGTGAAGGGATGAGGGAGGTGGAAAAGTGGGATCAGAATAAAGAATGTGGAGGCCAGCTACGAGAGAATGTTGTTGGTCTATACTTGAGACATTTGATAGAGAATACAAGTTGGACACATGTGATAGAGACAATAAGAAACTAATGAAGCTTTGGGATTTTATTTTGTACATGTATAATACCTAAGAATAAACATATGCTTTTTTAACAGGATGAAAATTAAATTTAGATTGGATCTAGCCTGACATTCCTTCACATTTGTGGGCTGTGATCTTTCTGACAATATATAATTTAGGGGTGTTTCCTGTTTTACCAATTATACTTCCAATTATACATCTTTCTTCCAATTATATAAACTTCAGCTTTTTGATCTTGTTGACACTTCAGTTTCTAATGCGAGAACTGGTTCTACAGTGTTGTTTTCAATTAGTTGGCTTTGTAAAATCTTATTCAAATGATATTGAGTGAGTACTTTGATCTTGGTACTTAGGAGAATGCATTGAAATCTATGTCGTACTGCAAAAAGTAGTATTTATTTTCCATCAATATAAAGAAAGCCTCAAAAGGAAAAGGTATCCATCCACTGATCTTGGTTACTGTTCTTCAGGTAAATAAATAAGGTGTTGTATCCCAGTTGCTAACATAATTCTAAAAAGTGGTTCAGTGATCTAGCTGTACATAGTATTACAGATAACTAGTTATCTATCTATTTCTTCTCCTTTTATATAATAACTGCAACAGTTTTAGCTCTTTTCATTAAGAGGATATTTTTAATAATTTGAAAATATGGGCACTGATAGGTTGGTGTTTGGTAGAATTGACGAAGAAGCTGAGTGTTTGCTCTGGATAGTTTAAACTTTGCTCTTTTGGGGAAGCAGAGGAAAGAGCAGTAGTAATACAATGATGTTTTAGGCACTTGATGATTTTTGGCATCCTCAGCTGCTGGATGATCATGAAGTCACTGCGCACAGTTGTCTAACAGAAAATGTCCTAAGAAATGGCTGGTGGTATCATCTTTAGGTCAGATGTGGCCAGTTATACCAAAACCAATCGAACGATCTGGTCTTCTCTCTTCATATAATTTTAAGTCCATTACAGTTCTGTATGTAGCAGACATGAAGAACTGTTTAGTCCTATCCTATGACTGGGAAGACTATGTATTTCAAAAGACCTGTTGCATCTTCCTTGTGTTATTTCCAACAGAATTGTTTATTATTTATCACTAGAAAGGTCCCAGCACTATAGGAGTATCTAACTATTCTGGTTACTAATCAAAAGTAATAATAAAAAAATTTTACCCACAGTGCAATGATGTGCAAATAGACGAAGCAGAGCCTCTCTATTGTTTCCTCTGTTTTAATACAAGTCAAGTGAATGTAGTGAATAATTTGACTAATTCTCATCATTTTTATGATGAACTTCTGATGCTGCAGGATGGAAGCTTCCTCTTTACATAAAAGACTATTTTGTTAATGCATGACAAGTGATTTTTGTCAGCTTAAGATTTTTTTAAAATAGTAATTCAAAGAATGCCCAGAAACTATTGGTACTCCACCCACAACAGAATCCATGTTCTGACAATGTCTTCATCATTGAATGTTTAAGAGGGTTGGAGTGATACTAAACAGGACCTTGAAACAGCTTTCTCATACAGAAACATTATGCCCAGGTTTAACCTCACCAAAAAATAGCTTTGGTAGCAGTTGAAACATTAAGAATTTGTTGTGTATACTTGGAGATATCTCTATGGATTAATATTTGAGGCAGACACTTCTGCAATTCCTTTAGGGTTTTTCTTCCTTCTGTGCCATTTTCTCTCTAATTACTAATGACAGGACAAGGGGAAATGGCCTCAAGTTGCGTCAGGGTAAGTTTAGATTGGATATTCGGAGGAAGTTCTTTACTGAACGAGTGGTGAGGCACTGGAACAGGCTGCCCAGGGAGGTGGTGGAGTCACCAACCCTGGAGGTGTTTAAAAAAAAAGTAGATCTAGCACTTGAGGCTATGGTGTAGTGGTTAGGTATGCTGGGATGAAGGTTGGACTAGATGATCTTCAGAGGTCCCTTCCAACCCCTAACATTCTGTGATTCTGTGATTCTGTGATTTACAGTTGGATTCTGACCTTTTCAGGAGAGCCTGGAACAACAACTGGAGTGCCACAATTGATGGCTACAAGCTCTTTAGGAGGTATAGGCAGGGAAGGAGAGGATGTGGAGTGGCACTGTGTGTTAAGGAATGCTATGAAAGCTCAGAAGTCAAGTCTAGTGATGATGGGATGGAGAGTGTTTGGATTAGCCTAAGGGCCAATAAAGGTGCTATTGCTGAAGGGAATCTGCGATAGACCTCCCAATCAGAGCAGTGAGGAGGATGAAGCTTTCTCTAAGCAACTGGGAGAAATCTCACGGTCACTTGCCGTAGTTCTTGTGGGAGACTTTAACCTCCCAAGAATCTGCTGGGAATACAACACAGCAGAGATATAACAATCCAGGAGGTTTCTGGAGTGTGTGGATGATAACTTCCTCACACAGCTGGTCAGTGAACCAACCAGGGAAGGTGCCCTGCTGGACCTCCCGTTTGTGAACAGAGAAGGTCTAGTGGAGAATGTGGCAGTTGGAGGCTGTCTGGGGAATAGTGACCATGAAATGACAAAGTTCTCTATTCTTAGAAATGTAAGGAGGGGAGACAGTAAAACTCTCGTTTGGGATTTCAGAAGGGCAGACTTTGAGTTGTTTGGGAAGTTACCTGATAGAATCCCTTGGGAGTCAGTTTTGAAGAGTATAGAAGTCCAGGAAAGCCGGACACTTTTTAAGAAGGAATTTTTAAAGACACATGAGCAGACTATCCCCACTTGCCATAAAACAAGCTGGCAGCATAGAAGACTGGCCTGGCTAAATAGAGACATTTGGCTGAAAATCAAGGGAAAAAGGAGAATTTATGGCCTTTGGAAGAAGGGGTAGGCCACTCACAAGGAGTACAAGGATAATGTTAGGTTATGCAGGGAGGTAATTAAAGGTCCAAAGCTGAGCTAGAAATTAATCTGGCTTTCAAAGGAAAGGACAGCAAGAAAAGCTTCTATAAATATATTAATAACAAAAGGAAGAAGAAGGAGAGCCTACACTCCCTGCTAGACCTAGGAGGAAATAGAGTGACAAAGGATGAGGATAAGGCTGAGGTGCTTAGTGCTTACTTTGCCTCGCTCTTTAATCAAAGAAACACCTGTACTGCGGGAAGCCAGCCCTCCAAGCCAAGAAACAGGAGCCAGGAGCAAAACATCCCTCCCACAATCAAGTAGGAGATGGTCAGGGACCTTCTGCTCCACATTGATATCCACAAATCTATGGGGGCAGGTAGAGTACATCCTAGAGTACTGAAAGAACTGGCATCCATCATTTATTGGCAGCCCTGGCAGACTGGGGAGGTCCCAGATGACTGGAAATCAGTCAGTATAACACCCATCTGTAAGAAGGGACGGAAGGATGATCCAAGAAGCTACAGGCCTGTTAGCTTGACTTCAGTGTCAGGGAAGCTGATGGAGCAGATCATCCTGAGTTCCATCATGCAGCACATGCAGGACAACCAGGTGATCAGACTCAGTCAGCATGGGTTTGTGAAGGGCAGGTCCTGTTTAACAAACCTGATCTCCTTCTGTGACTGGGTGACCCACTTCTTGGATGAAGGAAGGGCTGTGGATGTTGTCTGCCTTGACTTTAGTAAGGCATTCGACACTGTTGCCCTAGAGAAATTGCTCTTAGTTTGGGTGGGCATATCCTTTGCTGGGCTGTAGCGTTGTAGCGAGGTGGTAGTTGGTCTGTTCTGTGATAGGAGGAGGGGAAATGGATTTAAATTGTGCCAGGGGAGGTTCAGGTAGGATATTAGGAAGAATTTCTTTACTGAAGAGATTGTCAGCCTTTGGAACAGGCTACCCAGGGAGATGGTTGAGTCGCCGTCCCTGGAAGTGTTTGAGAGACAGGTGGATATTGCTTTGAAGGACATGACTTAGTGGTGTTGATAGGGCTAGGAAAAGGTTGGACTCGATGATCTTGAAGGTCTCTTCCAGCCAAAACTGTTCTATGATTCTGTGAACAGTGTATAGTAGAAATTTTTTGTTTTTCTTCCCTTTCTCGCAGGGATTTTTTAATTACAGTTCTGTGCCAAAGAATGTATAATTAGTAACTTTACTTTTTTAAATTAACAAATTCAGTGACTACTGTAATTTTAGAAAAAGTTTTAATTTAAGGTTTTCTGATTGTGTCAATGAGTGAATGAAATGCCTCTCGCTCTTCTGTTAAGAGTAGATTATTGGGTTTTAAAATGATCCCGTTATATTGCTTTGATTTATGCTGACAATTTTCATTCATCGTAATTAGTCTTTGAAATGTCAATTTTATTTTTATTTTTTAATGTCTTTTTGCTTTCTCCCTAGCTGGGTTGAAAACTTTGGCCGAGAAGGTCTAGGGCTGCTGTTGGATATTTTGGAAAGACTGGTTGAAACAAAAAAGTAAGAGTGATACCATATAAAATTGCCAACTTAATATGTAAACAGCATTTAGTTACACTAAATATTTTATTTATTCAGTCAGGACAAAGTTGTGAAGAGGAGTCAGCATAAGGTTATACAGTGTTTGAGAGCCTTCATGAATAATAAGGTATGGGATTTTGTTGAATTTGAAAATCTATATTGCTGCAGTTCAGCCAGAGAATGTACATGGTCAGCAGGCATAAGCCTGTGCAATATGGAAAAGCAGGTTTTTGATCAGCAGCAGTTCTTTCTGCCGCTACTTTCTTTTTTGCAGAAATACACTTAGAGAATAATGTAAACTTCTGTTGCTGATATATGCCCTTATTGCAGGATAAGGGACCAATGTTGGACTTTTCTCTCATTTAATTTTTTTTAATTAAGTATTTGACAGACTTTGATGTCATTTGGAATGTTTACTTGAGGGAACTGTCACTATCTTTTGTTAGGTGTATGATAGTTATTTGGATTTCCTCCAACTCTCCTTACAACTGTTCCTCTGTTTTTTAGTATGGATTGGAAAGAATTTTGGGAGAAGAGAGAAGCCTTTTGTTGCTCATCAAAGCAATTGATCCCAAGCAAACCAACATGATGACAGATATAGTTAAACTCCTTTCTGCAATGTGCATTATTGGAGAGGAAAACATGTAAGTACTGTATTTAGCCAAAAATAGTAAGGTATTTTTATGATATTCAAAATTATAGTGATATCAGAATGAAATGCCAAAATTTTCAGCTTAGATTTGAAAGTAATGTTGGTACTATATTTTCAGTTTTCAGAATACCTTTGTCTGTGATTTTTATTATGGCCATATGAATAGGAGTTTTCTTTTTGACATGTGGAGGTACTGGTTGAATGGAGGTAGTGATGCAACCATTCTTCTGCTTAAAAATTTTTAGCATTACTTTTAAGGTAGCTTAACCACTTTAATCCAGGAAAGTTGTCCTTTGACTACAAAAGTCTCCAAATGAAACTAGTGATGCTTACATTTTCTACATTTCTACGCAAGAAAATAAGGCAGGTGAATGCTTTGGCAGGATGGCTCTTCAGAAAAGAAATGAACATCAAATTTAAATATCTTTTCTGAGGGAAATGCTTTTCATTTCTTACAGCCTTGAAAAAATTTTGGAAGCTATAACAGCAGCAGCAGAGGAAAAGAACATTGATAGATTCTCTCCTATTGTAGAAGGTCTTCAGGATAACTCAGTTCAGCTGCAAGTAAGCAAATTGTTTTCATAAACCTCTGCAACAACTGAAAATAGTTACTTACTTTTCTGTATTGAACAAGTCATTATGGTAAAAAGGAGGAGGGATACGGTTTTGTTAGGATGTTGTTTATAGCGTTATCTTTTAAAATGCATTGTGGGAAGATTCAGTGCTGAGAAATGCAAGGATGTTGCAGGTTAATTTGTTTATTTCTGTTCACCCACATCTTACAGACACTAGGAGTTAAATTTATACTGCCTTTTAAAATAAAGTGCAAGTCATATATTCGGATGCAAAAAAGATTACCTTGCTTCTGGTGGTATTTGCTGAAACTTAATAATTGATAATAGTAAAACATAAGTTCAAGTTTTTAGGCAACTACTTTTTATAATTAATGTTTAAATCCGCAGGAAACTGGTCCCTTATGCCCATTTGTGATTTTGTAAAATTGCACCCAGAGATAATGAGGAAAGAAGTAGAATTTACAGTAGAAAGACATAAAGTATTATAATGCATTTGGATGGTCATTATAAATCATTGGTCTAAGTGTATAAATATTAACTCATATTGTTTGTTCAGTGCAGCTGAACTACATAAAACTGTTCGTAATTGTCAGCCTCTGTGAATATTACATAAACGGTAAAAGATGAATCTCAAATTTGTGGTAAGAGATTGTGTCATGTCCCCTGTCACCTTTTGTATTACATGATCCATGTGTGACAGTAAAGATGGCTGTTGGTTTCATCTGTCTCACAGAAAAACTAAACGTAATGAAATATTTGAAAGTGGAGAATTGCTTGTAGTGAAATTATGCTAGTACCAAGGGATTCTCTTTTGAAAAATTATCCTTCCTCTCTTTCAATCTTGCAATGATTTGGGTCAAAGCCCTGTCCACCTTGACCTTGAACGCTTCTGGAGATGGGGCATCCACAAATTCTCAGGATACAATTGGCTTTCTGGGCTGCATGTACGTGCTAACGGCTTGTGTCTGATTTTTCATCTACGAATAACCCCAAGCCCTTCACTGACGGGTTGCTCTCAGTCTGTTTGTTGCTCAGCCTGCTCTGATACCAGCGATTGCCCCGACTCAGATGCAGGATATTGCACTTGGTCTTGTTGAACTTCATGAGGTTCAGATGGGCCCACTTCTCCAGTTTGTCAAGGTCTCTTCTAGACAACAATTCTTGACACTCCCATCTTCAGGTTTCTGTTATGTGATATCATGTCTCTTCATTCTAGAATAGAGCTTGGCAAAGAAATGGTTGCTTTCTGTCTCTTATCTTTGTTTTTTTTTTTTGTAGTGTGCATGAGTATCTTCATATTCAGGGTCCTGAGCAATAAATCTGACACCAAGATGTTGTGGGGTTTTTTTTGTTTGTTTGTTTGTTTGTTTTTTTCCTTTAAATCTTGCTGTCATAGTCATAGCAGGAATTAGTTATTGTGAGAGGACAAATTCAGCTTTGAATTGCTGCTCAGCTTTCTGGGAGTAGGAATACATCGCCATAGTGTAATTTGCCAGGTGAGGTGATAACTGAGGGAAAGACAGTCCTCTAATTCACTGTTTGTTTTTTTTTTTGTTTTGTTTTCTTTTGTTTTTTTCTATCTCAGCATGGATTTATTACACTGAGTTAAAAAGCTTTGAATAAAACTAAACCAAAGAATTTATGGATTCTTTAGTTTCTTTGCTTCAACTCCGAGAATTTCTAAATGCCTCTAATGCATATTGCACTCCATTACCAATGACAGTAGTCAGAGTCGCTTGGGAGCCTCAGACAGTCAAGTAGACTCTCCTCTTAGCAATAACTTTTATTGGCTAGAAATGTAGGATATTTTTGTTTTTATGGTTAATTTGTTGTTTCTTTTAAAAAGTGTATCACACTAGTATTGACTTCATATAGAAGATTTGTGTATTTTACTAAGGTATGAAAAATCATAGTAATTGTCTTTAATGGTCAAGAAGGAGATCCTATGTTGGCAAGGCTGGAGTGGGGCTAAAAAGGGCCTGTCAGGAGAACTGCAGAGTGATAAATTTTTTCTTTGGACAGTGGCTGGGAGGCTTTGTGTAAGTCTCGGCCTATAGTTACAATGAGGAAGGAGAGGGCTAAAGGACACTTTTTTCATATGCCACAAATGGTTCCTAGATTTCTTCTTTTAAGACCAGAACAATCAACGTTCCTCATGTGAATCAGATGTAAACTTTCATAGCAATGCCATTGACTGAGCGGTTAATTTGACAGTGTTTTAATGAGATAAAAGTTTGCAGTTGTCAGTTACTTGGCATACTTGCCTTGATTATCTGTTTGATATATGTAAGTTTGCTTTGTGGCAGTTCAGTTTGACACTAGCAACTGACCTTTTCAATTCTGGATTGACTAACATTTCTGCTACGTAAAGGCTGAATAAATAAAAGGCCTCCTCAGTATGATGATATTTATTTTTAACGAAAGCTTGATGTATCTACTTTTTGGATTTGTTGAAAGCAAAGAATGTTCTTCTTTTTATCTTTCATAAAATCCAAAATTATGTAAAGCGTGACAAGAGCCAGGAGTAATATCCAATTTCTGGTTTTATTAAAGTAAATGTAATTTGACTTCTTAAGCCAGCACTCAAGAAAATGCATACAAGACAATTTGGTACCTTATATACTTATGAAAACAACCGAAAAACCAAATCTAGTACTTTGGTTGTTCAACTCACAGAGGAAGTCAATACTGCTCTTCTGACACAAGCCATTTTGATGTATTTAAGACTGTTCTTATTCTTCTTCTAGAGTCAAATAAATGCTTCTAGCCTCTATTCATCATCTTCCATCACTGTTCCTCAAGCAGACGGTTTATCTAATGGAAGAGTAGTGTTCTTCAGTGCAGTTCTAGTTGCAGATGCCTCCTCCTTATTTTCTAGTTAGAACTGAGAAGAGGTACAACACTGAAGCAAAGGTGCACTTCTTCCTTTTCCAATTAAGTTTGTGAAAAATGAGCACTGGTCTTTCCCATGGAAACGTGCAGGTGTTTTGTGCCTGTGCTAGGAGAAGTGTTTTTCTGACAAAGTAAAAGGTCTTATCCATTCATCAGCTGCATTGCCCTCTCAGTATCTCCAGTTGTCAGGGAATACCATTCATCTTTCTTTTTCATCTAATAACATGAGAATGTGAGATGGTATGGTCTGTGGCATTTTGGTCAACTGAATTGTTTGATGATTTTTGGTTCTTCCGTGCCAATTACTGCCTGTGTAATGGGATGAATAAGAGCAAAACTCACTTTACATGAACTCTCTACATTTTTCTAATGTATAGAAAGTATTTAAGATCCATGTAAATGAGCTTTCATTGAATAGATGGTACATCTCAAAGGATTTTTCTTTTGTCATCAGCAAGGGTAAAATACTTGACGAACAGCAATATATTGTTTGTACCAAAGCCAAATCTACAGCCTTTTTAACTGTCAGCCAGAATTTAACTAAATCCAACTAGTCTGTCAGGTGAAGTGAAGGACTTGCTCTTGACTTATCCTCGAAGGAACTGCTCAGTGCTTCAACACAATTTTAGAAGGTGCACCAGAGAGCTGTGTTACCACATGCCTTTGGCTGTTAGAGCCTAAAATAATTTCGCTTCTTCAAGTGTCTTCTCAAGGGCAGACTGTCAAAATACCCCCACCTACAGAATCTACAAGTCTTCATGGATTGATTTTAGATATGGACCATTTGCCCAGAATGTTTTGCTCACGTTGACTTCTGCCTTCCTAGGAAGGTAATTTACGTGTCTTCACTAAATCTTACGCTACTTCAGCCCAAGTACCTCTTCATTTATTGAAGATGAGACATTTTTTTGCAATGGACACATCTTTCTCACCTTGTGTCCATGGTTGAAAATTCAAAAGGCTGTCACTGTTTACAGAACCTTATCCAAAGTAATTGAGTGTAAAAGAGTGCAGTTAGGGCCCAGTCATCTGAGTGCAAACAGTGACTGATTCTTCAGTGTCTCAGGAGTTGACATTTAATAGAGCTGTCAACTAGAGTGCCACAGGCATTTTCCTTAAGTGGTAGATACTCTGAGAATTGTCAAGGAATTTCTACTTCTTGTAGACTTCTCTTTGGAATTTTAATAATTATTTTGGCTTTTTATTCCTATAGAAATAGTTTGCTAACATAATCCAGTAGACCTTTCCCTTGTTTGTTCCAGGAAATCTAAAGTATGTTCTGGTTATGAACTGCAATCAAATTCCCATTTTATCAAATTTAACTAAAGTACTAGAATAACAGTATTTTTACTGATACGTTGTTTTGCTTCATTATCGTATCTTGTCTCTGTTCTGTTTGAATAGTACGTGAGGGCATGTACCTTGTTAATTTGGCAAATTAAAAGAAATTTTTTTTTTGTCAGGAATTACTTCTGTAGACATCCTTTCATGTAAATTATATTGCTGTCTCAAAGATAAAAGTTTAATTTGCTCTTGATCAGGATTTTTTTTTTTGTGTAGCCTCTATTTGCCTCTTCATTGATAGTTCAAGTATGATAAATGCTGATTCCTTGCTTAGCAGTCCATTCACATAAAATTTTGCATGAAAATGTACTGTTTTAAACTGCTGATAACAATGACAAAGGTTCCAATTCTGATGTAATCAAACCGCATGGAGTTTGACTTTGATATGTAAATGTAACCTTGCAGTACTGTACTTACCTGCTGTAAGATAATGTTGTCCAATGAAGTCCACAAGCATTGAAATGCCTCACTGACCTTAACAGGAGTGCAGGTGTTGGTGGCATCTGTCAACATACTGAATTACTGGTTTTGAATGACAGAGCTAATTGAATCAAGAAAATGCAATTGAATGAAAGAGTCAGTACTGCAGAGAGATAAATTGGTGATGGCATAACAGGTTTCAATGAAATAAGCTCACAATTAGACGAAGTAAATATTTTCATCATGGTTGCTGGGAAAAAAATACAAAAAAAGATAAAGTGGATGATTTAGTAAATTGGACTCACACCAAAACAAATATAAGGTTTAAGAATAAAGAATACAGCCCATACTTGAGTAATGAGAATATATTCCGCAGGGTGTTATTGCTCTAAATTTTAACTGGTTTAGTTGCCTATGTTTTCTACCATATATTTTGTCCAAATCACAGATGAGACTGATCAAACCATTGTGCGGTTTGTGGGCCTAAAGAATACACCTTATATTCAAAGCCAAGAATTTGTTGTTAGTCTGAATGAAGTCTGAATGGCCTAATCAAGTTATTTTCAGTAGTGGTGAGCACATCTCACATGCCATGCCTCCTCGTTTCTATATTGCATTTTATTTAAGGTCATATTGCTGCCTGCTCACTATAGAAATGTATGTAACAGTGAATTTTGCCACAAACTTATACAAGGATAAGCAAAATCTAAAACTTGTGGGCTGCTGGTTATCATTTTACTAGATAAATCACATTGTAGCTAAATAAGCCAAAACAGGGCTCCAGGCAGGCAAGTGAAGTCTTCATTAAAGCCTGACAAGTCTGGAAGCATACGGTGTTGGCTTAATACAAAGCCTGTTACTAGCAAAAACAACAGGGTTCAAGGCCACATGTAAGAGTGCAAAGGACATGACAGACAAATATTGAGTATGAGGAGCGTTTTCAGTGTCCAGAAATAGTTGGTTGTGCAACAGGAGAGTCCTAATTTCTTCTCTGTTGAGTGCTATCAAGATGTTTACTAGAAGGTTTCATTCAGTCTACTTTTCAAAAGTGGACTGGGCACCTTAGGTGGTTTTAAAATTTTTGTTATTGCTGCATGGGGTTTGGATGTAGGTAAGTAAGGATTTTCTTTTTTAGTTATTGTTTGGTATTTGTAGTAGTATTTCTTTTTTTGGAGGTTATCACCGCTTTCCCACCTAGTGTAGAGTGATGCTTTGCCACTAACAAGCATTAGAATAACTCTTAGAAACAGTACATGCACAGAAACAGGCTTCAGGAAAAGGACCTGGGAGTGTTGGTGGACAGCTGGCTGAACGTGAGCCAGCAGTGTGCCCAGGTGGCCAAGAAGGCCAACGGCTTCCTGGGCTGTATCTGAAATAGTGTGGCCAGCAGGACCAGGGCAGTGATTGTTCCTCTGTACTCGGCACTGGTGAGGCTGCACCTCCAATCCTTTGTTTAGTTTTGTTCTCCTCACTACAAGAAAGGCATTGAGGGGCTGGAGTGTGTCCGAAGAAGGGTGGCAAAGCTGGTGAAGAGACTGGAGAACCAATTTTATGAGGAACAGCTTAGGGAATTGGAGCTTTTTAGTCTGGAGGAGGCTGAGGGAAGACCTCATGCTCTCCAGCTACCTGACAGGAGGTTGTAGTGAGGTGGGAGCCGGTTTCTTCTCCCATGTAAAAAGTGATAGGGCGAGAGGAAATGGCCTCAACTTGCACCAGGGGAAGTTTAGATTGGATATTAGGAAAACTTTCTTCCGGGAAAGGGTTGTCAAGCCCTGGAGCAGGATGCCCAAGGAAGTAGTGGAATCACCATGCTTGGAGGTATGTGTAGATGTCGTGCTTAGGGACATAGTTTAGTGGTGGATTTGTCACTGTTAAGCTAATGGTTGTACTGGTGATCTTAAAGGTCTTTTCCAACCTAAAAAATTCTATGACTCTGTTATTCTCAAGTTCTTCTACGTATGCTAACGTTGCTGTTAAGTAGGCCTAAATTACACTGTCATTTACACTGTTCAAATAAAATATTATATAAAACTACTTTCACATTTATATTCCTTGCAGTATGATTAAAGTAGGATCATGCTTGTAGTCTGTATGATCATTGAATCCTAGTATGCTCCTCTTGGAAACCTAGTGAGTGCTGTTATTTCTTACAGCCCATATCAAAGTCGCTTGGCCACACAGTTTTTCTGGTCACCATATGTAAATTCAGTACTTGGAATTATGTGTACCTTGATGATGACTGATTCAGTATGTTCCTGGTATCACCTTTTGTTTCGCCACAGTAAAATATGCCATCATTTTCTGCTTGATAAAAAGCTTTACAATAGGGAATGTGTTTGAACCCCATTGCCTTACTTGTCTTCCGGCCTAGCATAGTATGTAAGCAATTCTGATTGACTTGTGCTTTTAAAGCCCCCTTAAAATGCAGGAAATACGTGAATCCTATGCATTGAAGCAAGGTGGACAAACAATGAAGAGGGTAAAGAAAGGAAAATAGTGGCTGTTGTCATCCTTGTTTATGATTAATAATAAGTTGCTGTAGTTGTAAAGGCTTGTGAATCTGGACAGGGAATGCTGCTCCTGGCTATGGGTTTTCAAGATGAGCGTCTTGATTCTTCGGAAAGACTACTCATTGGCTGACCTGATACTTTTGAGCTGAGTGCTGTTCCTATGAAGGGTTCTATGACACTCAGTATGTTTAAAAAGGGAAAATTTAAAAACAAGAAAATAAAGCCTATTCTGTTCATCAGACTCAGTGTAGTTTTAATCAGCATTTTGTTGTTCTAATATATTTTCTACTGTTCATACAGACTTTAGCCTTTACCCTTTCTAGTATGTCACTAACTTTTTTTATATATGTATAAATAAATGTATATTTACATTGTTTTTTTTTATTTTGAGAATTATGCTTGTCAAGGTATTTGCTGTCTGCTAGAGTTGATTTGCTAGAGGAACTTGCTCCTTGTATAAAAGGACAAAATTCACTGGAATGAGAAAAGATTTCATTTTTATGGAAATTCATGAACTAGTGTTCGGTATTTATAGCACATGTTGCTGATAGGAAATTTAAGTATTTTAATTATAAGATTACAGTAGATTTGATAATTAGATGAGATGTAATGTCTAATTAGTAGTTAATTATATCTTTTTGACTTTGATGTATATTGAAATCTAAGAAATAATAGCTTAATATTTCTTCTGTTATAGGTAGCTTGCATGCAACTCATCAATGCTCTTGTTACATCTCCTGATGACTTGGATTTTAGGCTTCACATCAGAAATGAATTTATGCGCAGTGGATTGAAAGAGATATTGCCAGTAAGTGCCTTGTAGTCTCTCCTTGCATTACTATTTAAATTATTGGACTGTTTGAGCTTGAGAGGGGGAATGGGAGAACAAGCTTTAATAAATTATTCTCAAAGGCATTTTATTAAGTTTGGGCATGAACTGTTAGATATGAGAAGCAGTCTTAAAATAAGAATGAAAAGGTAAAGTGTGCTCTGTGAACTTTATGCTGATTCCTCAGTGCTTTAGGACTTTGATTTGGAACACGTGACACACTGTTCTGCAGAAACTTGTTAAGCCAGGCTGAAGCCATGTTTACCTTTTGAGTATTTAACTAAACTCATGTGTACCTGTAATTTTAAACTTTAAAATAACGTAGACTTGGGAAAGTTGTTAAAATGATAAGGTTTATTTACATATGGAAATGCTATTTTTGTAAGCCTTTCTATTGTTTCTTCTTTGCAGCAATTGACATGTATAAAGAATGAAGCACTAGATATTCAGCTGAAAGTGTTCAATGAGCATAAGGAGGAAGATATGATTGAATTCTCTCATCGTTTAGAAGATATTAGATCTGAATTAGAATATCCTTTTAGATATCGGCAAGAGAAAGATGAACAAAATAAAGTGTATAATGGATATTTTTCTGGTATAATTTCTGTTTAAAAGAAGTTATCCGTCAACAATATTGTTTCCTTGCTATTATCCTCCTTAACATTCTTACTGAAGTAAATGATGTTTACAACATGGTGTGGAATACAGTTAAGGACACTAGTGCTGAAGGATATTTTCTTTCTATTCTCCAACACCTTTTGCTGATAAGAAATGATTATTTTATACGGTATGTTTAATGCTATGCTAAATGTTAATTGCGGATTTGGTTGTCATTTAGTCATTAACAGAATATTTCTTCCATAAATTTAGTGATAAATACAGTTTAGTACTTTTTTGTGTGGTCTAAGTACACCTCTGTGAACTCATGTTCAAATGTATCAGCATTGAATAAGAATGAAGTCTATATGTTTTTGTCTCTTCTGCTTAGCGTACAATTTTATATATAACTATAGAAAACTATTTTTGTTGGGATCTAAACCTTACTGACGGCAAGCGTAAGCAGTCAGGACAGGTCTCTTAATTGGTTATAAGCCATTATAATTTTGTGGTGTCTTTGAGTCAAAGGACAAAACCAGGTATTCACAAAAGTGCACTTTATACAGAAATCTGAGTAGATGATTAATTTAGAATAACTTTTGGTTGGAAATTGAGTCTTCTCAATATACGTTATAGGTCAGCGTGAGCATGTTAGTGTTTATTGGAAAATTCACTGGATAAACTACAGCAATACAGTTAAAATCTTAGATGTCTGAAGCTACCAAATACTTTCTTTTCTACAAACTGCTTGCATTGTTTTTGAGGAAACACTGGATGAATTGAATATGAGCTAAACAGGGAAGGAAAGCCATTTGTCTTCTGCATTGTGTTCTGCATAACTTTGTATTTCAGGCAAGATCTAGCACAGATATAACTTTAAAGGTTAAGAATGCTTGCCTGACATGAGTACACCTGTGCTAGGCCTCTTCCACCTGAAAGGATTTGAATTCACAGCTTGTACATTCTGGGCAAATGACCCAGCTGTCATACCCCCAGCCTGTTAGATCAAGATGGTTTTCCTTCTTCTTACTGAAGCAGGGCATCTGTAGTTACAGAAGTCACAAAACCAGAAGGATTCAAGCTGATCTCTTTATTGGGAGGAAGCAGGAGGGAGTCCTTTCATCTTGTATTTCCACAGTGAGAGAGGTGGAGAGTTTATATTTTAAGGACCATTTATCTTCAGATCTGCTGTTTTTTCGAGCTTTGTGTAAACTCTTCCTGTGTAATAAACTGTCAGATATATTTGTCCTTTCAGACTTTGTGGGTTTGCACCTACCCTTCTATGGAAATAAGGCCAGATCTTTTTTGACCTTACTGTGTTCATAGACAGGATTTTAAAAATATGTTGATAAATATGCTGTAAAAGAACCAATCTCTGTCTTTAGTCCACAGTATTTCAAATTAATTGAAGAGTGTGTGTCCCAGATAGTGTTACATCGAAGTGGAACAGACCCAGATTTCACGTATCGCAAAAGATTAGATATAAATATCAGCCACTTAATAGGTAAGTACAGTATTTGGAAATTACTACAGTAGCATACTTCTTTACATGTTTCACAAACCAAGTTAAAGTTGTATATGTGATTAAGAATCTTCTGTTTCCTGTATATGTGCAATTGTGTCTGTTTATTTTTTCAAGATATCTGTGTAGATAAAGCAAGATTAGAAGAGTGTGAAGAGAGGGCTTCTGAACTTTCCAGAAAAGTAAGTAATTTTGAAGTTATGTGATCATAAGATGGACACAGAAGATTACTTAATCGCTTCATGAATAGTGCAACTCAACGTGGCATACTTTCGAACTTCAAATAGCTATTACTTCTATGTTTAAGCCGGAGTTTAGAAGTTTTTTGTGAACTAGGAAGCAGAGAAAAGTACTGTTAAGTATTTAGCCACAACTGAGAATCTTCCTACTATTTATTTTCAAGTTATGTATACAAATCTCCCAAAAAGAAACTGAGTACCTTATGTGAACAGTTGTCAGTTTCTTCAAGAAGAAGAATTGGCTCATTTGTATCTACAGTACTGTATTACTGTAAATATTCTCTTTAAACTACTTTAATTTCAGTTGAATCCATCAAGTACTTTATGCCATTTTGTATAGTAAGCCCTTGTAATGGTAATATTGGTGGTACTTCTATTCAGTGAATGCATGGAAGTTAAAATAAAAGATCAGTTTGTACCTGTCCTTAGTATTGTTAATGTGAGTTATAACAAACACAATAGGAAAAGTTGGAATCCAGAGAAACTATGCAGAACTGACTATTATCAACAATTTTCTTTCCCCATCTCTCCCTCCCCCTCTTTTCCTTAGTTTGAAAAAGATTTTGTAGTTCATCAAGAGACCCAGGCCCTACTTCAAAAAAAAGAAGAAAGAATTAATGAACTTGAAGCAGAATTACAAGCTTTTAAATCACAGGTATAAGGCAGTTGAAATGAATGTATGAAATACTGTTTTTGAAAAGGGACTTCATTTTGCATCTGCAGATTCTGATAGTGCAATTGAGGTTGTTTTTCCAAAGAATTCTTATTATCGATCATTAGTTACTGTTAAGTTCCTTTATTTCTTTTTTTTTTTTAATACAAAGAATTGTAGGGTGACATTAATTAGCTGTTTGAGTTCTCAGATGATTCTTTTCGTGCCTGAGCTCTGTTAATTAAACCTGATTCTTACGTTTCATTTGGGTTTTGTTTTCAGTGTCATATATTTCCAAAGTAATTAACCACATAGAGTAATAAGTCTTATGCTTTTAGATTAGCATTCATCACTGTGATCTTCATGCTTCCACAGGAAATTATTCATTATGCAGTTTGCTTTGCCGAAGCCTTACTGTGGATATCCAGCAGGGAAGGAAATAACCTGTGGCTGGATAAGAACATCTCCCGATAATTTTTCAATTTTCAAGCATAAATAGATATTTTAAAATGTGATGGAGAGGAATAGTGCAGATTTTTGAGAGTAGTACTTAAGTTAACTTGTAACTACTTCAGCTCTAAAATCTGAGTGAGGAGACTCTAAGTGAATTTTCTTGTGTCTTATTTCCTGGAGTAAAAAGAACAGTCAAGGAAAGAAAGCTTCATGAAGACATGCAGATGGGAATATGATAAAATACATGTTTTCATCACAGAGCTATTTTTATACTTTTTAGCTTGTTTAATTTTCTGAGTGAGGAAAATTAGTCTGGTCTGTTTAAAAATGTCATTGTAATTCAGATTGCTGCATGTTTACTGATGTTTGAAGGCCTGCGGTAGATCTTGAAATAGTAGAAATAAATGTATATATTTTTTTGTCTTCCTGAAGTACTAATAAGACTGTCTCGATACAATATAGATGTCATTACTATATAGAATAAGAAGGCTGTGTGTAAGACAGCTGTGGTTTTTTTGAAGGATATTCTTTTTCTACGTTACTTTGTTCTTTCAGTTCTGTAGAATGAGAATGCTCCTGTATTGGAAAATGTTACAGAATGACTATTATCTTCAGATTCTGCTATTATGTACTTGGAAGGTTTCTCTGGAATCTGTATAAGAAAGAACACTAGAGATGAGGATTTTTTTTTTTGGAGCTAAACCATAGCAGTCTACATAAAATTTCATCATGATACGTATCAGTCCTTCTTTATATATTTGTCATTTTTGGCATGCACCTCCTGATCTTGAATGTCTGCTTCAAATCTCGAGACTTCCAATTATGTAATCAAAAGCATGTTTGCCTCATAGTTCCTGTTTGATTGTCCTATACAAGAAAAATGGCTTTCAACTGACTTGCTGGATTTAATCTATGAACTATGATTGTTAGGCGTTTTGTTGATAAAAATATGAAACTGAATATTTTTTTATCAGTATGGTTCCATGCCATCAACACACGGAGGTGCATCTGTTGTTCCACTGGAAGCTACGGGACCCCATCAACTTCCACCTCCCCCTCCTCCACCCCTGCCTTCTAAAGGAGCAATTCCACCACCACCACCTCCCCCTCCTCCTCCGCCGCTTTTGAATGGCTTGGGAATTCCTCTGGCTTTTGGTGGTGCTCCTCCACCACCGCCTCTACCAGGCCTGCCTGGAGCTCCATCTTCATGTACTTTGCCATTTGGAATGAAGCCTAAAAAAGAATTCAGACCTGAGGTTACAATGAAAAGACTCAACTGGTCCAAGGTAGGACTTACAGCAAATACTTGATGTAAAATCTTACATAGCGCTCAGGGCAAATATATTGTCGAGAGTAAGACTATATAGAACAATTGATATATTACTTTACTTTGCTTTGCTTTCGGGAGACCTCACCTCGAATACTGGATCCAGTTCTAGTGCCCCCACTCTAAGAGCGACTTAGATCTGTTGGAGCGTGTTCAGAGGAGGCCACAAAGATGATCCAGGTGCTGGACAAGGACAGGCTGGGGGAGCTGAGCCTGTTCAGCCTAGAGAAGAGAAAGACTCTGGGGGGACCTAATAGCTGCCTTCCAATACCTGAAGGGAACCTACAGGAAGGCTGGGGAGGGACTTTTTACAAGAGTGTCCAGCGATGGGACAAGGGAAAATGGGTTTAAGTTGAAGGAGAATAAGTTTAGATTGGATCTTAGAAAGAAATTCTTCAGTACGAGGGTGGCAAGACTTTGGAATAAACTGTCCAGAGACATTGTGGCTGCCCCCTCCCTGGAGATGTTCAAGGCCTTGAGTAGCCTGATCTAGTCGTGAGGCATCCCTGCCCATGGCAGGGAGGTTGGATTAGATGATCTCTAAGGTCCCTTCCAAGTCAGGCCATTCTATGATTCTGTGAATTATTAGTTAAAATTATATAAGATATGAATGCCTTGTCTTTCAGTTTTCATCACTTTCTGAAACTTGCCTTTCATTGACTCATGAGTCATCTGGACAAGTATCTGTTGACTTTCTGACGTATGTGGTAAAAGTCAGTTCTGGTGTAGAACAACAGAAGCTTGACACCAGTGGTCTTCCTGGGTCCTACTATGCCTTGTCTCTTAGCAGACTGTTTATATTGGATTGGTCACTGCATTGTACTGATAGCTATAATACTTCAAAAAAACTGTCTTGATGGATCTAACTTGGACTATTGGAAGAAGCATTGCACGTCTCTCCATTTGTCCTCAGTATAAATACACTTATTTAAATTTAATAGTTAAGAAATATAGTCAGTTGTGTGGGTTTTTTTTGTTTTTTTGTGGTTTTTTTTTTTTTTTTTTACATCATGGTGACAGGATCAGGTATAACAGAACTGTCAATTTACTAAGTTTTGGAAACTCTAATTATTTAGACCAAAAAAAGTTAGTAGAAAGATATTTCAGAATTTTATGTAGCAATCAAAGCTATAAAGTAAGATAATACCTAGTTAAACCAGCTGTGTTCAAGGAGTATTTAAAGTTTACTCAAGTTATAAATCTAGTTTGAAGATAATTTGCTATTATTAGACTGCGTAAGAGTATGTTGTATGTATTGCTTTAAACTTATATCAGTTTGTGCAAAAGCACTTTCTGTGAGCATTATCTTCAATCAGCAATATATTAACAATTCTGAGAATGAATTATATACCAAAAGTTCACGTTTTATGGAGCTCTTAAGCATTTCATTTGCTTCAGGCTCTGCAGAGCACAGTCTCTGCATAGTAACAAAATAATTTAATTAGTAAAATTTTGTTTTGTGTATTGCTTATAGATCAGGCCTCAGGAAATGACAGAATCCTGTTTTTGGGTTAAAGCAGAAGAGGACAAGTATGAGAATGCTGACATGCTTTGCAAATTGGAACTTACGTTTTGTTGTCAAAAAAGGGGTAAGTAATAGACTACTTTTCAGCTTTTGTAGTTATATTTGAAACCATTTGGGGCTCAAATCTATATGAAAATTTTTGAATATATTATTAACATACTTTTTTTTACGTATAATGTATGAAGAAAAAATTTGAAAGTCCTAGACTGCTTAAAGCAGTAATATTCAACTATTTTACTCAAAGGGTAAGAAAAATTCTGACTTCAAGCAAAACCTTACCAAAACCCCCAAGAAATGCTTCTGGATAATACAGACTTCTATTCACTCATGTTTGGAAAAATATTTATAAAATTTAGTCAGAACACCTTAATAAAACATAGTGTTCTAATCTTGAGTCTATAAGATGATGTTTTTATCCTCAGAATGCATATGATAATTGATATGTTTCGGTTCCATCAAAGAGGAGAGTCTTTTAATGCAATCTTTTACCTTTTGATAAACTTGTAGCGATGTAGATGTCCTTTGATATTTTGCTTAGCTTCTTCAGCTTTTAATGTATCGTAGAAGAGCAAAATATGTAAAAGCATTCCTAGCTTTAAACTTTTTCTCGCTTTCTAGAAGTCACCAAAGTTATTCTGCCCCATATATAAAATGCCTCTCTCCTGGAATGGTATCAGAGACTTTGGGGCAGACAAAGGGCTACAATGATTAATTTCTTTTCAAACTGAAATGGCATTATTATATTTTTAGATTGCTTTATAAATTTCAATTTGATAATTTTATTTAATGTAGTGCATGACATTCTCAAGTTTCTCCATATTTTGAGGTATGCTTTGGTGTGCATTATCCAATTTATTTTTTTATAATAACCAAGGGCTTCATTCTGCATTTGTCAGAGCAGGCTTTTTATGTTCTAGCAGTATTTCTACTGAGTTGAGTATTACAGTTTATTACTCCTAGTACTTAATATTATTAAGAATGCTGTACAAACATAAAAAGGCAAGAAAACCTCACAGACCACAGATGATTTTGCTTGAATCTATTAGAATAAGCCTAAAAGGTAATTGTGATGCCTTTATAATGTTAGGAGAATTCCCAAGAATGTTCCATGAATTAATAGGTTGGAAGGTTTAAAAGCCACTGGAGGAAATACTGTTTCCTACGTGTAATTAAACAGTAATATTTGGGAGACAAGATGGTGTTCAAGCCAAACATGTTAATGGCTCAAAAGAGAATTGTGAATCTCCACAGACAGTGAGAACATTAAAGCTAACAAGATTAACATCTCTTCAAAGTTTAACAGAATAGACTGAATACATTGTTTTCACAAAACCTAATAGAAGAGAGTTACTGGTTCTACAGTTGAAAAATCAGTGAAGTGTACTCTCATACCAAAAGAGACAGGGGTGTGGTTAAAAGGCTATAGCCTGCAGGGACAAATTTAAATTATTTTTTTTTCACAGGTCGAGCTTACTGCTTAATTTTTTTCTGATTTTTTTTTTTTTTTTAAAGTTTTGAAATCTCTCTCATTGCACGTGAGTGATAAGTGTGCCGTGATCTTAATTTTGCAAAGGAAGTGGAGACACCAAAGATTTTATTTAGAACAAGTAGGTGTCTAAAGGGCAACTTGGAACTAAATTTCCTATTATTTTAAGTGAGTTTTACAGAAATTTGCATGAATGATTAAACACAGAGGCAGACAGAACTGGGCAGCTCAATGTTGTTTATTAACAGCAGGACAGCAAAGTCACTGCTTTTACTCTCATGACCATGGAAAGAGGGGATTTTTTTGGTAGCTTATATGTAACTTACTGTTTAAAGCTTGCCAGTGAAATTGGAGACATCCAGTTTTCTTTGCTTCTCAGTCTTGAAGGGATTTAACAACATGCTTTCTAAAGGAGAATCAGCAAGCTATTCATTAGAGTCCATGTGAGAACAGTCCTTGACTATATTTCTAAAGCTTTGTCTCTCAAACCGGAAAGATGAGGAGCTGAAAATGATTCTGTAGCCAAATGACAACATGCAGAGAATGAGCTGGTTTCCACTCTGTTGAAGGGTCTGCTTATGCACTCTTTTCACTGAAGTAATTGTGTAAGAAGAGGTATCCAGTTGTGGAAGCAAGGACCAGAATGTTCAATGACGCTAAGTGAATTTTATTCTGATTAAGTAAAATCAGATTGAAGTACTCAAATGTTCCGTTCGTGCATTTTGCCAGCTGATGTGTCAAAAGTATTGCAGTGTTGATGCAGAAGAGGAAGTCTTATGTCTCTGTAAATAATCCATTGAGGAATTTCTACTAGAAAAGGAATACAGAACAGTATAGAATAGATTTGAAGCTTTAGCAGATGTTTGTATAGAAGTTACAAATGATGTTGATTCTGAATGGGTATTGAAGCAATTAAACTTACTGAAGATGTTATGGAAGTATAACAGAAACATTACCGCAAGAATAAAAAAAGTAAAAGAGAGTCTAGCTTCGGAGTGTAGGAAAAACAGTGAGTAGTAACATGGAGCAAAGACTATGCTCAGAGAAAAAAAAATCATCACTCTAATTCAGGATGTCCGAAGCCATGTCAGAGACATGTCCTAGAATCATTGAAATAGTTAATTTGGAAGGGACTTCTGAAGGTCATCTGGTCCAATCACAGAATCACAGGATTACCTAGAGTGGAAAAGACCTTTAAGATCGAGTTTAACCATTAAGCTAACACTGAGAAATCCTCAATTAAACCATATTCCTCAGCACTGTTTTTACAGAACTCTTGAATACCTCCAGAGACAGGGACTCCACCACTGCCCTGGGTGACCCATTCCAATGCCTGATCACCCTTTCGGTAAAGAAATTCTTCTTAATATCCAGTCTAAACTTCCCTTGACACAACTTGAGGCCATTTCCTCTTATCCTGGGTCACCCTTCTAAAAGGACCAGTCTGTTTTGTGTTGCTTGGTGCTTTGCCCAGCTGAGTTTGAGCTATCCATCAAGATGAAGATGTATGGATGGACAGCCTGCTCACGTTTGGCACCATGGTGGTGAAATTTCTTTCATAACATCTTCATGGAATATCTTTTATTGCAACTTGTTCATTCTGTTGCCTCTTGGTCATTGTGCACCTCCAGGAAGAATCTGATTCCCTCTTATTTGTAGCTTGCTGTTAGGCAGTTTGAGGCAGCAGTAAGAGTTTCCTTTTGTTCTTCAAAATTGACAGCTCTCTCAGCTTTTCTGTCTGCATCTTACGTTTCATTCCTCTAATTAGCTTGATGATTTTCTGCTATGCTCATTCTAATGTATTTATATTTTTCTTGAAGTGGGTAACTTCTCCATGAGGGTGCAGGGGAGTAGAGGGAAATAATCACTTCTTGGACGTGCTGATGGCAGTCTTAGTAACTTACTGGATCCAGGGTTTTTGCTATGCTGCTTTTTTAATGGTAGTGAAACTGATGAGTCTATGAAGGGCTATAGGTGGTATAGGGCATTTTCTCTTCATTCTGGTACTTATTACAAAGCTATTTTTGTCACTTTCCAGAAATTGAACCATTTGATGAAAGCAATGTGTTTTATAAAAAAATAAAGTTTGAGCTGGAACAATAAGAATTATTAAAGCATCAGATGCTTATGGTGTTTGTGTAGCAACTTAGTGATGAGAAAGTATTTCTCTATTGACTCATAATTTATTCTTGTCTCGGAATCAATTTGTAATCTTAAATCTAAGATCATATATAAAAGAAATAGGCAAGGGCATAATGGAAAGCAAACTCCTTAGTCATAAAACCATATAGATTTACTGCTACACAGGGAGCTTCTCTGGTGAGACCTCACTCTGGACCCCTCCACACAAGAAAGATGTGGACTTATTGGAGTGGGTCCAAAGGAGGGCCACAAAAATGATCAACGGGCTGGAGCACCTCTGCTATGAGGACAGGCTGAGAGAGTTGGGGTTGTTCAGCCTGAAGAAGAAAAGACTCTGTGGACACCTTACAGAGTCTTTCCAGTACCTGAAGGAGGCCTACAGGAAAGCTGGGGAGGGACTGTTCACAAGAGTGTGTACCGACAGGATGAGGAACAATGGTTTTAAACTAAAGCAGGGTAGATTTAGATTAGATATTAGGAAGAAGCTCTTTCCTATGAGGTTGGCAGAACACTGGCACAGGTTGCCAAGAGAGGTGGGGGCCCATCCCTGGAGGCATTCGAAGTCAGGTGTGATGGGACTCTGAGCAACCTGATCTAGTTAAAGATGCCCCTGATCACTGCAGGGGGGTTAGACTATATGAACTTAAAGTTCCTTTCTAGCCCAGCGCGCTCTATGATTCTATGTGGGAGGAGAATATTAGTTTGAAATCTGGAAATAGAGGTCAATGTGAAGATGGAATATTTTCACTCTGGATACCTGAGGAAAGATTTAATTGTGACTAGAAATTGTACATACATTTAAAATATTTGCAAGAAAACACAAGAGGGAGTTGCCCCAAGAAAGAAAGAAACAAATAAAAGATTCTGGAACTCTCAAATCTTTAGCTTTGTGTCAGCTGCTAAAAGAGTAAAAGTAAGGAATGAAATCACTGGCCTAAAAACACCAGTGTGTAAGTAAGGTTGCTCCATGGTGCTCTACCTGGTTTGGGAGGAAAGAAGAACAAAATAAATTGAAAAGTCCTGAAAAGAAAATGATGAATGTGAATGGTTTGCATGAATGATCTTGAGTTTTCTGATAACCTTTCTTTTTAAAGGTAAAAAGGATTGGTATGAAGGGAGTTAGAGACTTGAAAGAGAAAGAAATAATAAGAAATAAAGCGTTTAAGATTTATCAGGATTATACTCATGATTGCCCATCAATGTAGAAAATCTGAAAAGCCGTGTTGGCAACAATGGTATCAAAGAATCTCTTGCTGTAATTCTCTGAAAACATTAAACTGAATATATGACTTGAAGTTAACTGCTATGTGAAATACTGAGCTGAAGCAAACCGCATATGTGCTATTATATTATCTTAAGCTTAAAAGGTAAGATGAACAAACAAAACTGCTCCTTATCAAATGACAACTACTTTAAAACAGATATATTGGAAGCCT